GAAAATAATCTGCATGTAAATGGATCCGCACAGTTCAAACCCCTGTTGTTCAAGTGCCAACTGTAATATCCCTTTATTGATATTTCTCATTTATTTATGTTTGTTGTTATCTATTGACTTCCTGTATGGTAGAAAAGGATTTAGTTCTTTTACACCACTTCTCAATTTCCCACCTTTCATCTTGCTAATGTAATTGTATCACAATTTTTATATAATAAGTAACTGATTTTTTTAACATTATGATTATGTAAATATTGTTTGTTTCAGAGCTTAATATAATATTATAATTTCATTTCCAGTTCAGGTTTTTATTATTCTTGGAATTTATAATTGCTTAATTTAAAAAAGTGCATACTTTGCAGTTCATGTGTTCTTAATCTTTTCCAAATGCTCCATTTTTTAAAATATTATGTTGAATCCTCCCTTTTTTTTTTTTTTCTTCCTGTTGACGATGACTGTCCTGGGGTCGTCTGTGATGCCGGGAACTTGCACATGTGTCACACTGGAGTCTCTCAACACCACTTCGTAAGATGTATCCTCCTGTTTCCCGTGTCCCCTTTCTTGGCTTACGTTCTCTTTTTTGCTGGAGTACGTGCCCAAGCAGCTTCCTAATAAATGGAGGTAATTTTTCGAGTCATGAAATATCTCATGCCACAAATATCTTTGTTCTTCTGTTAAACTTGATGGATAGGTTGATAATGTGTAACATTTTAAGTTAAAAAAGTTTTCTAATAGAATTTTGAAGACCTTGGTCCATAGGCTTCTAGTGTCCAGTGTTACTAAGAAAAGGTCTGGTCATTTTAATGCTTATCCTTTTGTGCAACTTTTTTTGATTTTAGAACATCTTATAATCCTTTCTTTATCCCATGTTCCCTGACATTTTATGTTCCTGAACTTTTAATGTGGCTTTTTTTTTTATTTATTGTGCTGGACCCCTGTGGGGCCTTTCACTATGAAGACTTGTCTTTGAGAAAACAATAACATGCTCCTCCTAGATTCTCCCCCAGTTTTCTCTGTTCTTTCTTGCCATAGCCACTATAATTTGTATGATAGATTCCTCAGATTTCTCTTCTATTTAAATGTTTTTTTTCCTTTTCATTGATCTTCTATTTATCTTTTTGTTCTACCTTCCTTCAAATTTCCTTGACTTCATTTTCCAGCATCCTGTTCAAGTTATTAATTTTGGCAATCACAGACAAGTATGTCAATTTCCAAGAATTCCTTCTTAGTCTCTGAGTGTTTTCTTTTTCAGTTTCCTACTGTTTAATGCATGCATTTTTCACATTTAACTGAGGATAATAATTAGGGAGAAAGATTTTTATTTGTCTTGCATTATCTCTGATAAATAAGTTTTTTTTCCCCCTGTTTGTTTGTTTTGAATTCTCGCTTTCATGTTAGAGGTTTTCTTTTGAACTCCTGGCCTCAAGCAATCATCCCACCTTGGCCTCCCAAAGTGCTGGGATTATAGGCATGAGCCACTGTGCCTGGCCTGGTTTTCTCAATTATTTTTTTAATCTTGGTTGTCTGTTCATATTTAAGACATTAAAATGTGAGTGTGAGTGTGTATATGTGTCTGAGTGTATGGGTGTGGGTGGTGGTGCTTTTCAACTGATGGGCTTCACTCCAAGAAAACTGGGAAAGTAGGTGGTCATTTTACTGATGCTTCCCCAAATGCCAGAGAGGAGACCTCCCATAGCCACCCAGGAAAGTATGTGGCCACAAGCATTCTGCCTGCAGGGGTCTGGAAGGTGGGAACAAAGTGGGACTTGGACTCATCACTTAAATTCAGACTTTCAATTAATCTCACTGTCATTACCCCTGCCCCCTTCTTCCTTTGTTGCCTCTGAACCCTGAGCTTCTGTTAATTTTGCCGGAGAAGAAAACTTAGATCTCTTGTCGCCCACACTGGAGCGCAGTGGTACGATCATAGCTTACTATAGCCTTAAACTCCTGGGCTCAAGTGATCCTCTTACCTCACTCTCCCAAGTAGCTAGGACTACAGGTACATGCCACCATGCCCAGCTAATTTTTTTATTTTTTGTAGAGATGGGATCTCACTGTGTTGCCCAGGCTGGTCTCAAACTCCTGGCTTCAAGCAATTCTCCCACTTTGACCTCCCCAAGTGCTGGGATTACAGGTGTGAGCCACTGCACCTGGGCCCAAATGCCTTTTGAGTCTGGTGTTCTGTCTCCTCTGAGTTCTTAGTCTTTCCAAGCTTTTATGTAGCAAATTGCTTCTTTTTCATGTCCCTCCTCAGGCTTCCTCCATCTTGCCAAGTCAGTAACTATTCTTCCAACAACTTCTAGTCTTCTAAAACCTAGTTGAAATCTGTCATATGCTGATATTGCCTTTTCCATTCTCTATGTGTGCATTTTTAATAATTGTTCTTTTTAGCATATTGGTGAGAGCACAGGAATGATAAAGCAATAAACACATGCTAGCAAACTGCCATCTTTACTCAGAATTCCAGGTGATAGAACTTTTATTGATATTGCTATAATGAACACTTTTTTTTTTATGCTGGTAGCATTTTCCCCTCCTTTTGCATTTATGGAATAGCGTAGGATCAAAAGCACAAGTAAGAAATTAGATTTAAATAGTTAGAGGGAGACTTTATCCCGCCTTTCTGAAGCTGAGAAGAGCTGTAGCGAGAAAGTGAGACTAATGGGGAGGGAGATGAAGAGCTTTGTGTCATATGATTTTATTTTTTAAAAAATGAGGTTATTTGTAGAGTGACAGGATTGTAAATGTTTTGGATTCTTTAAACATGTAAAGGGGGGCTGTCTAGAGTACTTTCCTTTGAGAAGCAAGGTGTTATACAAGAGTGGTTTCTGCAGCCTCACTTCTTTGCCTGAGGCAGGCTCTGTTGTCAGCCTAGAAAACTTAACTTCCCAAAGAAATAAATCTCCATTGAGAAGCCAAGGCATTAGTCCCCAGGGCCAGATGTCTTCCAGGGACGCACCTGGGTGTGCCCAAGGCCTCTGCTTCCTCCACATCCCAGCCGGCAGTGAGCCACCCGTGGCCCTGGGTTCGCAGACCAGGGTAAGAACTGAATGTATTGACTTACTTCAATCTAGTTCTTCATTTGGACCATGAATTCTTCTAAAACTTTTTTTTTTTTTTTTTACATTTCTCCCACAAGGCCTCATATTACAATGACAAAATGCTTATGATTATAGCTGAAAACTAGTTCAAGAGGAGGGTGGTAAATGGCAGCTCCTCCCATTTGCACAGCACTTTACGTTTTCATAGCCCTTTCTGTTCATTGTCTCATCTGTCTCATCTGTTGTTACCACCACCCCATGAGGTTCTCAGGATAGTGAATATTATCTTTCCTTTATAGGTAGGGTAACTGAGGCTTAGGTAAATGATATGGTTTGCTCAAGATCAAACAGCTAATATGAAGGACTCTGTTCCAGGTCTTCTGATTTCAAGGCCAAAATTATTTCCAATGTATTATGTGGTTTTAGAAAAATAATAACAATAACACAAGACTTGGGAGTCACCCACACAAAAAATATCCATGAAATAATATTAAATATAGACACCTGAAACTGCTCTCAAGGATTTTTTTATAATTTGGGTTTTATCTATTATTTGATTGATTAATTGATTTTGAAATTGTTTTTACTTCAATTGGTTCATTCATTCACTTAGAAAAATACCTATCGGTTGCTTACTTTATGTTAGAACTATTTGGAAGTTAGAAGAAAAATATTGACTATAGTCCATGACGTACAACAGTTTAGCATAAAAGCTGTAAGAGGCAGTATATGGATTTCCTATGCTACTGTAACATATTACCACAAATATAGTGGCTTAAAACAACCCAAATTTATTATCTTGTAGTTCTGGAGATCAGAAATTTGAAATATCTCATTAGTCTAAAATCAAGGTGTTGACAAGGCTGTATTCTTTCTGGAGGCTCTAGAAGAAAATCTGTTTCCTTCCCTTTCCCAGCTTCTAGAAGCCTCCTGCCTTCCTTGGCTTGTGGTCTCTTTCATCTTTATATCCAGCCATGGCTGCTTGCATCATTATCACGATGCCCTGTCTCTAGTTTTGGCTCCTCTTCCTTGTTTAAGAACCCTCTAATTACATTTCGTTCATTTAGATAACCCAGGATACTCTCCTTATCTTAAAGTCAGCTGGTTAGCAACCTTAATTACATCTACAACGGTAACTCTCCCTTGCCAGGCAACATAATATATTTACATGTTCTGGGGATTAGAATGTAGACATCTTTGGGGGCCGATTATTCTGTCTACCACAGATAGTAAGAGACCTTGCCCTGGAACAACAATAGCATTGTAATTCCAGGCATTGTGTACTTGGTACCAAATGAGTGTTACAGACCATGAATGCAGAAAGCAAGGAGGAAAGCCTTCTTCTGAGTGATCAAGGAACTCTTCCTGTTAGGCAAGTGCTATGGTTTGAATGTTTGTTCCCTTCGAAACTCGTGTTGAAACTTAATCCCCAACGTAACAGTATTAAGACATGAGGTCTTTAAGGGGTGACTGATCATGAGGGCTCTGCTCTCATGAGTGGATTAATCTATTTCTGGGTTAATGGATTAATGAGCAAATGGATTAATGGGTTATCATGGGACTGGGGCTGTTATAAAAGCCAGTTTGGCTCTCAGTGCACCTCTCGCACCCTGTGATGCCTTCCATCATGTTATGACATAGCACGAGGACTTCACCAGAAGCCAACCAGATGCAGTCCCTCACATCTCTCAGCCTCAGGAACTGTAAGAAATTTCTTTTCTTTATAAGTACCCAGTCTCAGGTATTTTATTAGAGCAACAGAAAATGGACTAAGACAGCAAGGAAACTGAATAAGCAAAGTTTTGGGGGCAAGAATGAACATGGCCCTTGGGAGCCACGTGAGGTTCTTAAGCAGAGGGAACCCAATGAAGACAGCAGTGAGTGGATGACTCTGGAGCTTGGTTATCCACAAACCTTGTTTGATTAGCATGGGCTTTGTCATTCTCTATTTTACAGAAGAGAAACTGAAGTCCAGGGACCATGAATTCCTGATAGAAAGTCAGCTGGCGAAGCCACTGGCCAGATGGTAAGGGGGTTTTTCACGCTTCTGGAGAGAGAAGGAAGCTCTAACTTTTGCCATTGCTCATGACTGTTCTCGATAAACCAAAATCTGTTTGGAATTATTCCCAGAAAAATCACTAAAATTAGTTCTTTCTGTCTTTGCTCCTGGTCATGTTCTCTGAAAAGATATGCATTTTTCTGAGCCCCCTGCTCATGTCCCTTTGCAGTCATAATTGAGGGGTAGGGAAAGAGTACTGGAACCCAGGTTGGGATGGGGTGATAGAGCTTTTCTTGAAACATTTTGGGAAGTCTTTTGCTCCAGTATTAGATTGCCGTTCAAGTCACACTGGGCTATCAACTCTGGGCCCTTGAATCAAGCTTTAACTCCATTTTTTGCTGCTCTTTTGGGAAATGTGAGGCCCCCAGTGCAGAGGAAAGCCACAGGGAGGAGAAGCAGAAGAGCACATGTCTAGTTTTCTGTCAATAACCAGCTCTGGGACCATAAGCAAGTTCCTTTTCCTAGTCTTAGTTTCTCCACCTGTCAAATGGGTTGGCTTGACATGACAGTGGTCTTTAGGGGCCTTTGAGTTCTGAGCATCTGTATTCATGATTCCAGAACTCAGCATCAGTGGAGCTCCCACTCGTGGAGGTCAAAGGTGGATCTGGACCTACCACTCATATGTCCACCTCCCCACTTCCCTGACTTCATGCTTCACTTCTGCTATCTATTATCTGCTTTGGGTCTCTTCCTCACGTTGGTCTGTCAACCCTTTCATGGAGATGCCACAGAAGGTGTGTCATCAATGTCACTCATTCAGTGATCCACCCATCCATTCATTCAGCGATTAAGCACCTACTTGTGCAAGGTGAGCCAGTTCCATCTTCCTGAGGCTTCTTGTGAGGTGGGGAGGAAGTGCAATCCAGGCTTCTTGAATCATGGACATCAGAGAATGTCTGAATTGGAAGGACATTTAGAAACCATGAAGTTCAATAGCCTTGTTTTTACAAACAAGGAAACAAAAGCCTAAATAGATGAAGTGATTTGCCTAAGATCACATGGCTGAACTGAGAATGTCAGAACTGGGACTAGAGTCAATTTCTGAGTTTTCCAGCCCAGTTCTGCCTTCTCCTTCCATTATCTACCATATTCTATTAACTGATTTGAAAAGAAAACTGTAATGAGCCCTAAATTATTTTCTCCTTGAGCACAAAGAATTTTTAATTGAGGAAGGATGTGCCCAAATTTGTGATGAGAAACAATTAACACAGCCTCAGTGGAATTACTGGGCCATAGCCCATTGTTTCAGCAAAGGCAATTCTATAATGGAAGGAAAAAGAAGATGAGGAAGGAGAGAATGCTGTCCTTCCTCATTCTCAAAACCTTTGTCTCCCTATTAAGCTATATTTGTTTGCCAAGCATGAGCCTGGTGAATCCCATACCCCAAATAATCCCAACTACCCATCTTACTTCATCAGCTGCATTTAGCAGCTGACAGCTCAGCTGATTCATTGCCAAGCTGGGTGAATAGACCTCAGCTAAGTTCTGGCTGTGAAAAGAGGCCTTGGGTACAAGCCCCATCCTCTCTGTGATCCAGTGGGGACAAGTCGCTGTCTGCCTTCAGAACCAGACCAGCCCACCCCATGCCACATGCACCGAAAATGAGAGATCAGTCTCACAGCTCCAAGCAGGACAACTGCCTTTGATCTCTCTCCTCATTCCTGCTCTGGTGTTTTACTCTCCACTGCATCTTGGTTTCTACCAACTCTCCAAATTTTTAGCTTTGTTTTCTATTTTTAGCTCCATTGAGTCAATCCTTTTAACTTAAAAGTCAGCTTTATTTGGTTCAACTCTTGAATCTTCCCTAAGTGATGGACTATACTCAGCCTTTGGCTCTTCCCACTCCTTTGGGTAAATTCACTTTGGGTTAAAACCTAACCCAATTTTCTGGATCTAGTCCCCAGAAACTCCTTGTCCTTTCTCCAGGAATGAATTCCTTTGTCTGGCTTACCCCTATCCCTGTTGGCTTGCCTTAGTTCCCTACATGCCAGCCGCTGTGTCTGTCTCTAGAACTCACTAAGATCTCTCCTCCAGCTAACTGCCTGCATCTTCCACTTGCATGTCCAGCTCCTCATTTCCCTGTCCTTATGCTTCACTTTCAGAACCTGCTTCAGATGTCGTCCTCACTTTGCTTCTCCCACCACAGCACCTCCCCAACTCTGGGCTCTCATTTGGTATCACTGGTGCCATCAGGTAAGAGCCTCCCCCAGTCTCCTGTAGATCCCGTACAGACTGGGTGAAATCTCAGCTCCTCCACTCCCATGCCTCAGTCCCACCGCCAAGGGAGGAATAGTTAGAAATCACCAGTGTTTTTCTCCTGGTACTCTTAGCTGAACATTAGCAATGTCTTATATACTCTGGAATTTGAAATTAACCACAGACTTCTAGAGTTAAAAACGGCTGAAAGATCACACCTAGCATTTCTCAAATTGTGGTTTTGTGACTGCCTGCATTGGAATCATTATTAAAAATATAGACTCCAGGCTGTCACTCAGACCAACTGAATTAGAATCTTAGGGGAAAATTATTAGACTGATTATTAGGCATAACAAACTTTGATGACTACTGATTTACTCTCTCTCCCAGGTTGTAGTTGGTATTTCATTTCAGCTATCCATGGCAGTCAAGGGACCCTTCTGGTCTTGGTGGTCCTTGAAAAAGGGAGAGTCCAGAAGTCAACCAGACTATCATAGAAACATTAACATTGCCTGTATCCACTATATTCAAAGAAATAAGAAATAAGTTTATTGGAAACCTTCCTAACATAGAACTCTGACTAGGCACAGCAGGGGATACTAGTTGAATAAAACACTCAGTCAGACCTATAATGCTAAAGTAAGGGGGCATCTTCACTTATGTCTCAGGGAAATAGCGTGGGGACAGCTTGCAACAAGTCTCACCTTGTCAGAGTGAAGCTGTCAGCTCGAGCAGGTGAGTCTGTTCCGATGGCTGTGGTAAGTGAAAGCATGTGTGGTGCAGAAAAAGTGGGTCATCAGCTTGAGATTCAAAAATTGACATAAAATTTTATGTGAAAGTAAATCTCCATGAGAGATGCTTATCAAATTAAGAGAAGCTTAAGCAGATGAAGTAAAGTCAAAATATGTAAAGACAGTAGGGAAGATAGCTGGAGTGTTGGAAGGATCTGTGTAGAACCATAGCATTCTGATTGGAAGGGCCCTTCAAAATCATACTGACTAGTGGTTCTCAGATATTTTTCTTTTAGCTCTTGGATTCTTCTTTCAAACAAAATCTTATGCAGAAGCCTAATATGTACTCTAGTTGGAGAGAGAGAGAGAGAGAGAGAGAGAGAGAGGGAGGGAGGGAGAGAGAGAGAGAGAGAGAGAGAGAGAGAGAGAGAGAGAGAGAGAATGTTCTAGGATAGGCTAGGTTATGTGCAGTAACAAACAATCCAAAAGTTTTATCAGCTGTTATAAAAACAAAGGCTCTCCTTGCTCGTGCTACATGTCTATCACAAATGAGTTGGGCTCTGCTTTACCGCTCCTCACTCCAAGACCCAAGCCAATAGAGCAGCCACCATCTTGAGAATTGCTGGTTACCATGACAGAAGAAAGCAAGCAACTCTGAAGAATACTGCATTGGCAATTAAATGCTCCAGTGTGAAAGTGACCCAGAGTACTTCTACCCAGGTTGCACTGGACAATACCAGTCAGAAGGCCCTGCCCAACCACAAAGAGATCAAGAAATACAATTCTATCCTTTGCCCAGAAGGCATTTCCCACAGAAAATATTTGGTAGGCACCACTGTTGACTACCACTGTGAGTGTGTGTGTGTGTGTGTGTGTGTTTGTGTGTATGAGCTTTCTCTCAGCCCCCATGCTACCCCTAGGTATCTCTGAGGAACTCCTAGACTCCATGAAAACTGGTTTGAAAATTACTGCATCAACACCCTTATTTTATAAATAGGAAACTAAGGTCAAGTTGCTTATTTAAGGTCAAATAATATTGAAACCTAGGCCAGAATGGAGCTTTCTCGGCTCTCAGTGGAGGGCGCCTCTCATTTTAGCTCAGTATATGGTGTGTGCATGTGTGTGTGTGTGTGTGTGTGTGTGTGTGAGAGAGAGAGAGAGAGAGAGAGAGAGAGAGAGAGAGAGAGAGAGAAAATGGTGACTCAAGAGTTAAATGTAGATCGAGAAGAGGCTTATTCTGAAAGGAAATGTGAACGTGAGGAAATTTTCCGTGAAGGCTTGCCATGCATTCCAAGTGACAAATAGATGCAGTAAAGACATTAAATTTGTTCTGATTACCCGAGGGATGCAGGGCCATATAAAGAGTTTTTGAAGGGAGCAGCAACTGGTGAGGAAACGTGGTGTTCCTAATGGGGTGAGGAAGCCAAGCAAAATCACCAAGTTTGCCGGGACCTGGGAGAAACACTCATGCCAAGATCACATGGAAGGAGGGCATCAATTGATTTCATTCAAGTCATGGGCATTGTACAGGGAGCATTTATCCCACAGGATTAAGCAGTTCCATTGGGTTCAATAAACGTTACCAATCAGCCACTCTGCTCAAGTGCAGTGTTAGGTGTCAGGAACCCAAAGGCAAACTGCACACAGCTGAGAGAAGAAATGGCGAGCCCTGGACTGAGGGCAAGAGAGGGAGCCCCGGGACTCTGAGACTATTCATATGAGCACTGGGGGAGGGGCAGCGATAAAGGGAAGGAGCTTCTAGAATGACTCCTAAGTTTCTCTTCTTCTAGAAGAGAATGGGCTTTTGGGGCAGGTCAATCCACTGGGCAGTCTATCCCATAGAGACCAGGATATTCTGCACTCGTGTGCTCCATTCTCAGTCATTCACGGTGGCCACCTCTCCCCCAGACACGCACAGACATCCCATCTCCATTGTCGCTGGAGGGGCAGTATCTCCTCCTTCCCCGCGCCACTCCCTTGGAGACCCACTAACTCTTCCCTGTCACCTGCCACAGCGTGGCCTGAATTATCTTTATCTCTCCAAAGACACAAAGAAGATTCTATCATTCCCCCACCTGCCTCCTTCATTGCCTCCTATTTCCTCTGCAAAAGTGAGGTTTCCTATGAGGTTTCCCTAAATCCGGCCCTTCCTGTATTTCTACCACCATTTCTCTCTACTTTCTCCCTGTCTTTCATTTACTCACGCCTACGCTCCCAGTACATGAGACGCTCCAAGTACACGCAGCTCTCTTGGCACTCACGCAGTTTCCCACCTCTGTGCTTTTGCATATGCTAGTCTCTTCGTCTGGACTGTCCCCCGTCCAGCTGGCAGAATCCTGTGCCTGCTCATCTGATCGCTCTTTCCTTGTGCTGCCACAGTGGACAGTATCTGACTCTTGTTTGTCCTGACCATACTGCTTGCGAGTATTTGTTTACTTGGAGGAAACCGTATAGTGAAGCACTAATGCTCAGCTTTTAGATAGACTATACGAATTTGGTCTGCTTCAATATTTACTTTTTATTTTATTTTATTTTATTTTATTTTATTTTATTTTTTGAGACAGAGTCTCACTCTGTCGCCTGGGCTAGAGTGCCATGGCGTCAGCCTAGCTCACAGCAACCTCAAACTCCAGGGCTCAAGCGACCCTCCTGCCTCCAGTCTCCTGAGTAGCTGGGACTACAGGTGTGCACCACCATGCCTGGCTAATTTTTTCTATTTCAGTTGCCTGGCTAATTTCTTTCTATTTTTTTTTTAAGTAGAGACAGGGTCTTGTTCTTGTTGAGGCTGGTCTCAAACTCCAGACCTCAAATGATACTCCCACCTCAGCCTCCCTGAATGCTAGGATTATAGGCATGAGCCAGCATGGCCGACCTAGCTTCAATGTTTAGCAGCACATTGGACTCTCAGAATCTCAGTTTCTTCTTCTGTAAAATGAGTATACTAATTAATATCTCCTGTATAGATTTATTCTTAGGATTAAGATAATCTAAGTAAAGTATTAGTTAATTACAGGTATTAGCGACCATGTTATCAATATTATATATTTGCATATTTTCCTTACCAAACTGTGAGCTCCTTGAAGGCATATATCTTGTTTTATGCAACTTTGTATTCTTAGTGATTCACAAAGAGCCAATCAAATAGGAGGTCCTTCATAAACTTTTGAATGAATGATCCAACTAGGAAACATTAAATTGTATTCAGTGAGTGATCAGTTTAAGTAGGCAGGAAATGTCATATATGTTTTTAGATTTCCAACTGGCATGTTTGAGAAAGCAAAACTTTTTTTCCCTTGATAGGTGTGCTTCATTTATTTGGACACTACTGACATGAACCTGCTAGTTTCTCGATAGTGCCAGAGTAGGTGACCACACGTCTTTCCCACTAGAGAGGAGCGAGAGTGGAGACTGGGGGAATGTGGGCTTTGCAGTCGGCCCCACCAGGTTATCACCCAGGTGCTCCTACTTCCCGGCTACAGGACTTTGTACCGGTCACCTACACTTGGTGAGCACCAGCTTCCTTCGCTGTCAATTGGTTACAAGCTTGTCAATCTCACGGGACCATTTAGGTTAGAGCTGGTGTGTTCTGATCCATAGCTTACCATAGCTCTTGCACTTAGTATTGCTCATTAATTGTAAGTTATTTTACCTTGCATTGCCAGGTGAATTACCTCTTTAGTAAGCTTGTGAGCAACTTGGAGGTAGGGATTCAAGGTCTATGGAAATCAGGGATTTTCCAGGTGACATGGACACCCATTCATGGAAGCTCAACTAGGATCAGGAGAATCTCAAGAAATGCAATTATAGACATTCTCCCTCTCTCTGTCTCTCTCTTTCTTTCTCTTGCGCTGACTCTCTGTTCCTGCTGTCCCCTGGCATTTCTCTTCCATTCTTCTCTCTTCATCTGGCTTCTCTGCTTAAGCATCTGCTTGCACATGGCCCATCACGGCTGCCATAACGGTGGCCTCGCCACCCTGCTGCGCACCACTCTCCTTCTTTAATCCCATTGCTACCAGATTCAGTCTTTTGTGTCTCAAGCACACCCTCTTGGGAGAGAGAATCCGACTGGGCTACCTTCTGGCCAGGAGGTGCCCATCCCCTGCTCAGTGAGCTTTGCCAGAGTGGGGCTTAGGGTGGTGGAGGAAGAAGTAGGTAACAAAATGCCTTGCGCTGCTCCTGCCTGGGCACAGGGTTTCTCTAAGAAGAGGGTGTGGCTGGGGAGGAAATAGCAGGTGTCTCTGGGACAGTGTCCTGTCCCCTCAGGCTTTGTATCCTTTCAGCATTCAGCGAAGGATGAACAGGGAGAGAAAGACAGGATTTGCTGGCAGAGCAAAAGTGGCCATCATGCCGACTCACTTCATTTTTTCCTCTGGCTAAAGCACAGCTGCCTTCCTTGTTTTTGTTTTGTTTTGTCATTGTTTTGTTTATTTTGAATCCCTTCTGAGAAACACAATCTCAGTTTTGATGGGATTTGAAGAAGCCCTGTCAAATCCTGTCCCACTGTGCACACCCCTGCAATTCTAGACTTCTCGGGGCCGATCTCATGAGAGATGTCATTGGAATAAACCTTAAAGCTGGGACTTAACTGATCGGATATCGAAGAAAGTGGCGTTGTAGATGGCAGTACCATTTCCAGCAAGGGACAGTCTCCTTCTCTTTCTGTGACTCTCATGGTGGAACCCTCTAACTGCTCTTCCCCCATTACTGATCCCAAAAATTACACCGTAAGGCATCTGCTTTCCTTAAATCGACAGTCAGGTCTGACACAGGCGGTAGGAGGCGGTGGTGGGAACCGGTCTCCAGCTGGGGGCCTGGGAAGCTGGGGATTGACGTGGACGAGGAGAGGAGCCCGAGTGCGGAGCGGGAACATGGAGAAGGAAGAGGTGGCTGTCCTGGGCTGCAGGATCATGAACCAGGAAGGGCCAGGACAGGGGCTCGGAATGGTTCTCTGAGCAGGATGAGAGGACACCTTAAAATCCCAGTGCTCAGGCTCAGCATTCTGTGCTGCTTCTCATCTGCTCCCTTTCTCAGAGGCCCCGATCACAAAGGATTTCTGGTTTCTTTCTTATTTTCTTACTTTTATTTTCCTTTTTTCTTCTTCAACATTCAACCTGATGTCACAGAGGCTAAAAATCTTTACGTCTCTCACCTTGCCTAGGATCGACCAGGGCTGGCTGTGCCCGTCAGCTGCTGGGCTGCTCTTCAGTGAGGCTTGGAAGTTCCAGCAAAAGCCCTGCCTTTGAGCCAGAACCCCTCTGCCACCGTCCGAACGTGGATCCTTTGTAGTGGAGACAAAAAGCAAGTGGCACCCTGGCTGGGCCCATCCCTCAGCTGAGAATTCCAAGTAACGCTTCATCATCGCGAGTGCACTGCGCCGCTTTAATGCCTGGCGGAGCATGAATTGTAAACACGTCATTACACTTAAAAGCTGCCCTGAGATGACGGCTGCAGGAGAACCGGCCCTGAAGAAAAGAGGGGTTTGGCTGAAAATGAGCTGCTGAATAATTGATCACGAATTGAAAAGTCAATACCTTAAGTGAGGCACGGTGAAGCTCCAGAACTTGGAGGTAAACACTGTGAGGCTGTAATGTTTTAGAGAACATGGCCAAAAGCAATAGCTCTTTGGAAGGAGCAGGAGGCAAACAGACCCCAGCCGAGGGTGGGCTGAGCCTGACTGCGGGTGGAGGCGGGGTGGGGCCTGAAAGGAGACGCAGAGCAGAGCTGGCCTTGGAGGCTGCTCCATCTTAGCTGGAGGAGAGGAGAGGCCAGAACGGAGTTGGGGAACAGCTGAGAACAAAATGAGCGATGCTAAGCAGGAGTCCCAAGAAGACTCGACCATGGGCCCAGGAAAGCTTCCTGGAGGAGAGAGGACCCAGGCCTGGAAGGGAGGATTTGATTGAGGGAGGTGAGGGGACTCTCATCAGATGAGCTGTTAAGGTATCGCAGGAGAGGGGCTGAAGAGGCTGGTGTTGGGTGCAGGTTGAAGAACACCATGGAGAAGAATGGCAACTCATTGAAGTTCAAAATGGGAACCACTGCAGATTCTTTGACAGGACATTAACATTCATTCATCAATATTCAGCATATGCTTGAGTAGCTAAGTTCCACATTCTGGGCTGGTGCTAAGCACAGGTCCCCAGCCTCCCAGGACTTACATTCCAGTGAGGGAGACAGATAACCAAAACATAGTCTTCACATGTATTGTCCTTAGTGTTCTATATGCACCAGCTCAATCTTCGCCATGAGGTTAAGAGCTGGGCGAAATAATTATCTCCATTTTACAGATGGAGAAACTAAGGCTTAGAGCGGTTCAGTAATTTGTCCAAGGCAACCCAGCTAGTAAATGATGGAGCTGCCGCTGCAGCCTGAGATTATATAGTTATGATTTGGGGCTAAATGTTTATGTGGGGAAGTGTACGGGGGCGTGGGCCAGTGTTGCATACCTGGCTCTGTTTAGCGGCCCAGGAAGCCTTTCTAGACAAAGGAGCTAAGATGAAACCTGATGAGCTGGGGTGATGTGGGCGGTAAGAGTGGCTTGTGCAAGGGCCTGGGAGTGGCCAGAGAGGGAGGGAGGGAGGAGAGGCCAGATCTGGCAGATCTTTGAAGGCATGTCAAGGGGCCCAGATTTCATCCTGAGGGCAGTAAGAAGCTGATGAAGGGCTCTAAGAGGGGAGGGATGGAGAGTGCATGTGACAGGGTCGATTTTGCATTTTTAAAAGATCACTCTGGCCACGTTGTGGAGAATTGATTGGTGGGGCCAGAGTGCAGGCAGCTAGAACAGTGAGGAAGTTGAGAAACAAGAAATAAGTGAACCAATAAATTTGTCAACCCTTGAATACTTTATTCATGTGAGGGTCCCTCAGCCCCTTGCTCAAAGCCTTTTTCCCTCATTTACATCCAATTCTAATAATTCAGCTGTTTGTTTTCCCGATTTATAGTATATTAAGAGTAACAATTTAGAAACGAATTCGGGAGTGCAGTGAGTATTCAAGGGGGAAACACAGTGGCAATTGTGAAAAGTGACAGCTTGATTGTAAAGAAAGACTCACACACAAAAAACGCATTAAAATATTAAAACAAACAAACTGCTCAGCGGGGTGGGACCATTCAACGAAAAGCAAATAGCCCTACCCCAGTGTCATCCTCCCATTTCAGGCTGGTATTTGAGATCTCTAGTGATTGATTTGACGAGACAACAACAATAAAATTAATTTGAGAAAACAACAACAACAACAATTAAATAAGGCAATGGCAACAAACTGTGATGTCAAATAACCTCTGTTTAGAAAGATAGGGAAGAAAAAAGAATGATGACTCCATTCCCAGCAGCACTTAGAGATGTTGGTGGAAACAATCCCCAAATGGCAGCAAAGCCCTTGGGCCTAGTGTTCCCCTCCCAGGCTCCAAAGCCAGCCGTGTCACCTCCTGTGTGAGGGTGGCCATGCCAGGGTTGCTAGAGTGGAGGGACAGGAGCTTGGTCAAAGCCTTTGGCCGCTTGTCAGTGAGCCCAGAACAGGAGCTGAGGAGAGACGGCCACAGTGGCCTTGGCACCTATGGGCCTCCCTCAGAAGCCGGGCGGGAACATTTTGTAGACCATTGGCTGCAGCCTTTTAGGATTTTAGAAAAGTTGCTGCTGCTAGAGACTTTCCTCAGGGAAGCCCTGGGTATGACGGAGCCCTCTGTTCCCAGACTCTGGGATGTTGGCAACATGGTGTGGCCAGGGCACGTCTGCACCTGTCACTCTGCCATTGTGGGCAGCGGCCTGGGCACTCCCTGCTCCCTGAGGGTTTATATCGGCTCTTTTCTGAGGCTAACACCCTCAGGCCCACGTACTCAGAAGTGCCGCCATGACCCACCATCCCTGAGCCCAGGCCCTCAACTGTCAGGTTTTGAGGCGGTGGAAGAAAATGAAATGAGGCCAATTAGATGCTATCAAAGGTAGGGTTTATGGAAGCGCTCCCGGGCGAGGTTCGAGGGTCCCGAAAATGGGCCCCAAAAGTCGCACCACCCAGGTCTGCAAGCCAGCTTTTGTATGGAGGCTGGGCGCTGTTTTTTATGGCTATCTCTGGGGTCTTCCCGGCAAGTCAGGGCAGGAAGCCCTGCACACGGACGTCTTCCTGCTTTGTCTTGGCGGGGTGTCTGGGCCAAGATGTTCCGTTGACCACAGGATGCAGTTGGGGCAGCTGCTGTGCAAGGGCTACAGTTTATGCCACCCTGCGAGGACAAGTGAAGGGTTGAGGGGGCGGCCACCAGCCTTACATGGACCACACCTGTTTGCCCCACGTACCTCGCTAGGGAGGTTAGAAGTGCAACCAGAGAGTAGGTCAAGGAAGACCCTCGCGCAACATTCCTGTTTCAGGTGACTTATTTCGTTGTTTTTAGTTTAATAAGCAGGCTAAAAAGAAAAAAATGTCTGTTATTTGGTTGAGATCTAAAAGGCTGAAGTAGGAAAAAAAAAATGCTGTCTGAGGAGTGGGGAGGCCTTGGGCCTGGATTCTGTGAGGACTTAGACCCACCATTGCCTCCTCCAGCTGTCCTGGATGATTGGCCTCCGCTGATTCATCCCAGACATTCGGATTCCATCCGGGAGAAGCTCAGGGGAAAAACTCTTCAGTTGAAAGCAGTTGAGTAGATCTGAGAAGCCAGGCCTGCCCTCCAGCTTTCTACCCAGTTATGATGACATTCCGGCTGGGAATTATGACCTTTGGAAGGGATCACGGGAGCTATGATGTCTCTTGCACAACTTTTGCCAGCTTGAATTTTAAATATATATATATATTTTTTTTTTTTTTTTTTGAGACAGAGTCTCGCTTTGTTGCCCAGGCTAGAGTGAGTGCCGTGGCGTCAGCCTAGCTCACAGCAACCTCAAACTCCTGGGCTCAAGCAATCCTCCTGCCTCAGCCTCCCAAGTAGCTGGGACTACAGGCATTCGCCACCATGCCCGGCTAATTTTTTGTATATATATTAGTTGGCCAATTAATTTCTTTCTATTTATAGTAGAGACGGGGTCTCGCTCTTGCTCAGGCTGGTTTCGAACTCCTGACCTCGAGCAATCCGCCCGCCTCGGCCTCCCAGAGAGCTAGGATTACAGGCGTGAGCCACCGCACCCGGCCTTAAATATATTTTTGTTGCTATGATGAATATAATTTTTTTCATTGTTTTCAAATTGTTTTTGGAATATGAAAAACAATTGGTTTTTGTTTATTAATCACATATCCAACAAATTGTTAACCTGCCTTATTAATTATAATACATTGACACTTATTTAGAGTTCTCTATGTATATAATCATATCATCTGAGAATGACAGTTTGATTTTATTTACTTATTTTTAAAGAGTATATTTAAGGAAGATTGTTATCCAAACTGATTGAAATAAAAGGGAGCAAATAAAGAAATGGAGTTTCCATTATTGAGATTCTTTGTATGTGTGGGATTTAGTGTTCTCTGACAGTATCAAATAATATATAATTGAGTAAAAATATTATTCATTCATTTTTAAAATATTTATTTAGTACCATAATAGACTATGAGTTTATTACTGTGAGTAAAACTGAGATCCATCTCTGCCTCTTACGGCCAATAGGCTGAGGCTGTCTACCAGTTAGTCCAGGTGAGAGATGAAGGCAGGGTTGTTACAGACAACACGGAAAGGTAGATTTGGACTATCCATGGAGAAAATGTCAATAGATTCGTGACATAATTAGTAGCTAAAACCAGCACAACTTGGTCATGGGTTGGAAATGAGGAGCAAAGGAGAAGGAACTGTCAAAGACAACTTCTGGGATTCTGGTTTGCACGACTGAATGGATGTGATTCACTGAGATGAGGAACACTGAATAAGGATCGGATTTGGGAGGGTAGGGAGGACAGGATGCTTATGAGTTTGGTTTCGCCATTTTGATTTTGAGATGCTTTTGAGTCATTTAAGGAGGGAGACAATTGGATATACTGGTCTGGACCCTGGAGGAGAGGCCTGGCTGGAATCATCTGTCTAAACAGAGTAATTGGTAGTTTGGCTATAGATGAAATTGGCTAGTGGTGGGGAGAACAGAATGAGAAGAGGAGAGAGAGTTGGATGTAATATTGAGGAGCTACAAAATTTTATGGCCAGGTAAAAGAGCACAGGTTGGTAGTAGGGAAAGGAAAGAGGAAATTCATGAGAGCCGGTTATCCTACAAGGTAAGAGAATTGAATGTTTTAAGAAAGAAGAGAAAGTTAGCCATGTTCAAAGCTTCTGGAAGGTTGAATAAGATGAGGACTGAGAAATGTCATTGGATTCAACTACATTGTGATAATTGGAAGCATTATTAAGAGTCCTTTTGGAGTTGATTATCATGGTTGAAGAATGAGTGGAAAGTAAGAATTTTCTGGTAATTTATTGGAAAATAAATGAGTATGTATTGTTGTACTTTGGTTTTAGAATACATCACCACAAATAAGATTGTTACTAAGGCTTATAGAAATAGGCTTTATTAATGAGCACAACCTTAAAATGCTGGTCCTACCTATTCAGTAGTCGCGGAGACCCTGCAATGAAGTTAGGGTGGGATGGCAAGGAATTTGCAGTATTTGTCAAGTTACTTGGGGACAGGGGGTCTTAAACACTCCATTCTGGAGTCTGTCGGCTTCCCCATCACGCTTGCAAATGCCTGGATAAGGGAGCATATGCACACTGGAGCATTACTAGCAAATACCTAGGCACTCTGGGTTTGGGCTGTCAAGAGAGTGACTGTAATAGTATCTGTGATGCCACATCAGCCTATCCATTGGCACTTGCTGAAGCTGTTTTATCTGGAGTCATTCATTTGAGCACTTTGTGCTTTTGTGTATCTGCCATTTGCCTTGGAACCAAGTTTGTACAAGTCCTTTGATGACGAATTCCGGTGCTCTCTGAGGAGGGGCTCTGGGCCTGGCTGCAAAGGCAAGCTGTCCCAGGCTCCGGCCCCTGGCTCTGTCAGAGGAAGCAGATTGTTGACTGTCTCCCAGCTGCTTCTTGCCACTTGCAATTTGTGCTTTCTACAGAAATCACCGTGTTCGGAACAAGCCAGTCACCTCGCTGTTGTGAGAGGTTTGTGTGTCTGCTGAATATTTTATTTACCAGCTGGCTGGTGGCAAAGCACGGAACATGCTTGCGGGCCAGCAATGCCGCAGACTGTCATACACCAAGCCTGAAAAGGTCACTTGCTTCTCCTCATGCCTGGCAGGCACCAGCCATCCCTCACACAGGGCCTTTGTTATTTCTTTGAGGCTCTGAGAATGAGGTACATGTGCTGGAAAGCAGTCAGGGCGCTTTCTGCCCTTTGTACCGGGCATCAAGGCGGCCTCCAGTGTTTTCCTAAGAAGAGGTTATTTCACCATTCGGCTCTTCTTCTCCTGCCTCCCGGAATAAGAGTTTTCAGGGAGGCACCTTGCTTGGGTCTGAGGAAATCTGTGACTCTACTTCTGCCATCAGTAGGGGCTCAAGAAATATGCCATTCCCTGAACTCTGCTCCACCAGCCAGATTCCCTCTTTTGAAAAGGAGGAATTTAATAGCTCTTTTCCTTGTTCAGGGGACAACATCCAATTAGGGCTTAAAAGCGCTTCTATTTTCAGCAATCTCCTTTGCAGGTGCAAATACTTCTAAGAAATCTCTCATTTTTGAGTCTTAATCAGCCAGTAATTCCTTCATTGAAGATAGATGACTTTTAACAGTTACTCAGGAGAGAGGTGGCATCTGGAAAGTGTACTGGACTTGGAGTGAGCAGCCCTGTACCACTTTTACTCATTAATGGTTGGCATTAGATACGGTTTGCTCACCTGTCAAGTGGGTATAATGACAACTTACCTTGTGAGGTTGTTGTGAAGATCAAGACATGTGTGAACAGTGCATCGTGGATTGAACAGTACTGATATGCTCCACCTGCCCTAGAGGTCTAGGTGGTCTAACGTGACATATCATGATTCTGTGTAGTTCTACTTATATAAATTATACAGAAAATGGATACTTATCCCTTTCAAAAGATAAAGCATTTAAAATATATATTTAGCTCCTGGGCTGCATATACATGCTATATGATATTATAATTATGGATTGGGAATGAAACGCCATGATTTATTATTTAAATAAAAGGGTGAAGTACTATTAAAACTAAC